AGACTAGTTCGTTTTTCTCTCTGGAGCCTTTCGGCATCCCGAAGACGGTTACCCTAGGCCTGCTGTGGAGTCTGATGATGGTCTGTTCCTCACGTGGCATGTCCCTCCTGACTCTACCCCTGATGGTGGGCCCATTACCAACCGTGTCTGGGGCGCTCTGTTTGTGGATGGGTCCTGTGCCCGCCATGCCGTTCGTGAGCTCACGCGTGCTGCTAGCTCTGTCTGCATGGTGGACTCCGATGGGACTCTTGTGGCTGAGTTTAGAGCCCTTGTCTGGAGCCCCTACCCTCAGTCCCCCAGAGCGCTGAGTTCAGTGCTTTCACGTGGGCTAGCGTTATGGCTACGAGCCCTGCTGATTGCCATGTTTATTCCGATTGCCTTAATGTTGTTCGGCTTGCAGGACGTCCGAAGCCTGAGCAACTGTCAGGCAAAAAGATGTACGCTGGCGCCTTCTTGCAGTGCCATGGTCAGTGTTCTTCGGTTGCAGGTTGCTCTAAAGTAGCTGCCCATAAGGACATTGAAGACCCAACCATTGACGCTACTGAGAGGTGGCACCGCGTTGGCAATAACTTCGCTGATGTAGGGGCTAAACTGGCCCTTCTTATTCACCCTTCTGATGACGGCTTGCTTCAGGATGCTGATCGTCAGGTTATGTTTGCGAAGGCTACTCTTAAAGTTGCCAGCGCCGTGCTTCATTTGTGGCCTTCGGTGGATTTGTCTTCTATCGAAAGGGTCCAGCCACCTCGTGCCTTAGCCAGCGACGCCGCGGGCCATCGTTAGGCTCGCTGGTCTGGTATTTGGAGGTGCTCGGTTTGTCTCAAAGGTTGTCGGGCCCTGGTCCCCCCCTCCAAAGGTCGGTGCCCTCTGGACAGCAAGCTCCACGCTGCCCACCAGGACCGCCTAGGCCACGCGACCTTGGCTTTCGAGTGTTCAGACCAGTCGTTCCTTTCTATATGCTTGCGGTGCAAGAGCAACTCGTCTGGTGGTAAAGTCAGGGGTTTGGCAGAGCGCTGTGTTCCCCCAGCTCGCGCTGGCAAAATGGCTTGGGTACAGCTTTGTAAAGGCAAGCACCCTCACTACACTCGTCGTAAGCTCGGTGTCTCTGTTGATGTTGATGCATGTTTTGAATGTTTCAACAGGCCAGGCTTTGATGAGCAGGTGGGTTTACAGCCCGCCAGATATCCTCTCTCTTCCTCCTCTGGTGTGGATCGGGGGGTGGAGTCTGGGCGGGTCGTTGCGAGAAAATGGGATACTCTCTTCGGTGCTGAAGAGGAAGCTTCGAGCTTCCTCTTCGAGCAATCAGCTAGCGCGTCTGGCATTGCTCGTACTGTGCCTGAGGATGAGGCCCCTCAGCAGGCGATGAGGCATGGACCCCATCAAGTGCTGCGACGGGACAAGCCTTCTTTCCTGGCGAGGCGCCGACAGGATCAGTCGGACAGTTCGGATTAATGCCTCTATGGCGCAGGGACGCCCTTTTTACTTCTATCTTGCTCGGCCCGATGCGTCTGACCCTTTTGGCAGGCATCCGTGCTATGCCCCACATCTGGGGCGAGGTTGGCAGTCGTCCTGGCGCTGGTTGCACCAGGGACTACTGGCCTCGTCATCCTTGTGTGGGTGGTCGAGCTTTCCTCTGGCGTGGGTGCGCCTTTCTTTTCGTTTCTGACTGCGCGGCCCGATGCGTCTGTCCCTTCGGCAGGCATCCGTGTTTTTACCCCGCATCTGGGGCGAGGCCGACGGTCGTCCTGGCGCTGGCTGCACCAGGGGCTGCGGGCTCGCCGTCCTTGTGTGGGTGGTCGATTTGTCCTTGGGTGTTATTTTGCGCGCTGTCTCGTTGTGCGTGCGTCCGTCGTGCGCGCGTGTCAGGCACCCCGCTTCAGGGGGAAGGTGCATGCACATCTAGGGTGCGCCGCTTCCTCTCCCCGAGCACGGGGGTGGCCCCATCCCGACTGTGGCTCGGGTTTAGATGTTGCCGCGGCCAGGAGCCTGGGGCTCTTGGCCCCAACATCTCTCTTCGTTTGCGTTGGCGGGCGTCTCGTGCGTATGTGCGTTCGCTGGCCCCGCTTTCTCGGCTCTCCGCCGCTGGGGGCTGTCTCGGCTCTCCTGGCGGGGCGCTGTCTTGACCGTTGTTCCTCTTGCACAGCCGAGGGCAGTCGGTCCGAGATGTCTTCCCCTTTGCAGGACATTTGTTATTGGTTTTGTCTTTGCGCTTGCAGCTCGGCGTCCGTTTTGTTGCCCTGTGTGCCTGCCCCTCTCTTAGGGATGTTGCGGCAGGTGCACTTGTGCTGGCACGTCAGGACGCAGGGGCCCCTTCGGTCTCTCGAGCTGGTTTCACTTGCGCTGATGACTCAGACTTGGTCTGTGTCAGGGAGCCAGCATCCCCCTCCGCTGCTGGCTCTCGCCCTCGATTGCTTCGAGGATGTGGAGGTGTAACGTGGATGTCAAAAAAAACCTTCTTCTTGGTGACCTCGGGAGTTGCCCAGGGATGCCCCCTCTCGGGGTCTCTGAAGGCTCTGATCATGGACTCGTTCCTGAGGCACCTCGCGGAACAGCTGGAGTCTCAGCAGGCTCGTGCGATGCGCCCCGGGCCATGCCAGTGTGCCGGAGTGTGGTGCGACGGCTGACGATGCGGGTGTGACGCCCCTTTCGATCGGCCTCCTTCTGATTTCCCCTCCCTTCGTCGCCGCCCGCACCAGTGCCGGCCTCTCTGCAGCCAGCGAAGTGCCCCATCGCTCCTGTGGCCGAGCGGTGCTCGGACGCCGCGGCGCAGAAACGTCGCCGGCAAATCCTGGCCCTCATCCCAGCATGGGCTGATTGCGAAGGCCTCACGGCCGGTGCCGCCGACCCTGAATGGCGACGACGACGACGACGAGCGCTCTTGGGGGCCTCTTGGGGGTAGTTTGTGGGCCTCTTGGGAAGCTCTTAAGGGGCCGCTTGGAAGCCTCGTGGGGGCCTCTTGGGACTTCCTGGGGGTCTCTTGGAGGGGGCCTGGGACGTCTTGGAGGCTTCTTGGACGGTCTGGGGGCTATCTTGGGCGTTTTCGGCCGATCTTTGGGCGACTCGGGGTCCTCTTGGGCCGTCTCGGGGGCCATCTGGGGCCCTCGGACCTATTTGGAGTGTTTTCGAGGTTTCTAGGCCGCCCGAGGAAAAACGAATCTGCCCCCCCACCCCCCCCGGGGCCTCCCCCCCCCGGGACCCCCCCCCCTGGGGAAGGAATCAAAGGGAAGGGGCTTCCCTTCGACTCGATTACGACACTGCTAGATTTTTCTCTCGCTCACGAGCTTGAGAAGGAAGCTGCAGGGAAAGGGGACGACGGAGGCGACGACAGACGGAGACGACGACTCGAACAGCCAAGCCCCTCGCACACGCCGACAGGGTCGGCGTATTTCAAGATCGCTGGATCCGCTGAGTTTCTCGGCATGCAATTCGGCCCGGCGGCGGAGCTCGACGCCCAGCGGGCGGCGCCCGCACGAAAGTGGCCCGAACGAGTTCGGGAAATTGCCCTGTCGCGATTCCCCAAAGCCAGCCGTCGCATCTCCAATTTTGGCGCCATCACTGTGTTGAGCTACCTATGCCAGCTCTTCCCCCCCCCCCGCCTCCTTCCTCCGTGCCGAACGTCACGTCATCCACCGCCTCGTTCGCCTCCCCCCGAATTCCTTTGGCCTCGCCGAGCTCCTCAGCATAGGTAGTTGGCTTGCCTCGGCCACCCCGCGTTCGCTTCGAGTCGCGTGTGCTGTTTCAGCGTGGGGCGCGGCATTTCGCGCGCTTCGTGAATTTGGGGAGGATGGGTGGAGGGCCTCGCTTGACATTCTGTCGTCGCAGGCTGAGATGTTCGGGAAGCTCCCACGCGTAGCGATGGGGCGCCTTTGCCCTGAGTGCTGGGCGAACCCGACCAGCATTTGTGAATTCTTCGCCAGTCTTTCACCCGCCGCTTCCCATGCTTCGGGGATCCCTCGGGACGCGTGGCGGAAAGCGACTGCCGCGGCGCGTGAGGAGATTCGGCACGTTGGCGAGGAATTGCGCCGCCCGCGGCCGCAGCGAGTACTCGTCCGCTCCCTCTCCTCCTTGTTGTTCCCTGATTGTGTCCCTTCGCTCCGAGGCCGCCGTCTCCAGAGGTGGATCGTTGACAATGTTCCGGAGGACCCATTCGGGAACACGGAGATCATGGAACCCAGTCTGCACATCTCCTCAGTGCCCCCGCTCTCAGAGCTGACCCAGAGATGGGCCGCGCTTCGCCAGATTTTGGAATACACTCCCCCGTCCTGAGCCTGGGCCCACCTCAAGACACTTGCTGGCGGCTGGACGACGTCAGCTCGTATCCCCAGTGCCCAGTTTCGTAGATGTTTTTTAGGATGTACAGACACCGGCCCCATGTTCCATTATCTCTCGTGCCCTCGCCTGCTCTACCTCCTCGCTCCCCCTCGTGGCCATTTTCCAGCCTGCCCCCTCACTCGTCTTGGCCTCGGCCCTTCGCCGGACGTGGAGTTTGAATGCCCACGCAATCGTTGTCACTACATTGTCGTGTTGAGTTTCCATATCTATCACAAGCTGAAAGCTGACATGGCGCGCGGCACCCGTGCCTCCTCGCCTGCATGCCAATGCGAAATACTTACGAGCTGCTGCTCTCGCCGCAATGCTGGCAGTAACTGAATCACTGCTGATTCAAGCTACGTGCGCTCCTCCTCCTCGTCCTCCTCCTCCTCCTCCTCCTCCTCCTCCTCCTCCTCCTCCTCCTCCTCCTCCTCCTCCTCCGCGTCCCTCCTCCTCCCCCTCCTCCTCCTCCTCCTCCTCCTCTCCTCCTCCTCCTGATCATCCCCCTCCCCCTCCTCCTCGTCCTCCTTCTCCTCCTCCTCCTCCTCCTCCTCTTCCTCCTCCTCCTCCTCCTCCGACTCCGACGACGACGACTACGACGACGACGACGACGACGACGAACGACGACGACGACGACGACGACGACGACGACGACGACGACGACGACGACGACGACGACGACGACCGCCGAGGCCGCGCGGCGGCTACCGGTCCACCCGCGCAGGCGCGGGGCGCGCGGGGCGCGGGCGCGCCTGGAGGCGCGGCCCCAGAGGCGCGCGGGGAGGGGCGGGGCCCGGACGAGAGTTCGGGGGCGGCCAAGGCGCGGGGGGGGGCCAAGGTCGGGGCCGAGGTCGGGCGTCCAAGGACGTGAAGAATTCTAGACGCTTCGCGTATCCCCACCAGCCCGTCCAGAAATGAGTCCCAGGGGAGTGGAGGTTATGAGGGAAGCGGGGGAGCATGCAGAAGAACAAAGGGCGGGGTGAGCCGCCATATACCCCAAGAGGGGGAGGATGTAGGAGGAGCCGTCGTCGTCGGAGTAGGAGGAGGAAGATGAGGAGCAGGAGGAGGAGCAGAGGAGGAGGAGGAGGAGGAGGAAGATAAGGAGGAGGAGATGGAGGACTGCGAGGACGAGGAGGACGAGAAGGAGGAAAAGGAGAAGGAGGAAAAGGAGAAGGAGGAGGAGGAGGAGGAGGAGGAGGGGGAGGGGGAGGAGGGAGGAGGAAGAAAAAGAGGAGGAGGAGGACAATGGCGAGCTTGGGGGCCTCTTGGGCCGTCTTTGGGGCCTCTTGGCGGTCCCGGGGGCCTCTTGCGTATCTCGGGGAGCCTCTTGTGGCCTCTTGGGGGTCTCTTGGGGGCCTCTTGGAGGCCTCTTGGGCGCTTCTTGGGGCCTCTTGGGGCCCTTTCTTGGGGCGCTCTTGGGAGCCTTCGAGGCGCTCTTGGGGCCATCTTGGAGGAGATCTATCAAAGAAGGGGGGGTCCCCAATTAGCGCTGCCCCTCTAGAGTGCCTCGAATCGCTTCTTGGGCCCTTCTTGAGGCCAAAAGCCTTCCAAAACCTAAGTAAAATCAATGTTTTTTGCTTTCTCGCCTTTTCGCTCTTGGAGCCGTCTTGGGCCGTCTTGGGAGCCTCTTGGGCCTCTTGGGGGTCTCTTGGGAGCCTTTTGGAGGCCTCTTGGGCGCCTCTTGGGGCCTCTTGGGGCGCTCTTGGGGCGCTCTTGGGGCGCTCTTGGGAGCCTTCGGGGCGCTCTTGGGGCCATCTTGGAGGAGATCGATCAAAGAAGAGGGGGTCCCCAATTAGCGTTGCCCCTCTAGAGTGCCTCGAGTCGCCTCTTGGGCCCCCCAAGAGGCCAAAATCCTTCCAAAACCTAGGTAAAATCAATGTTTGTTGATTTCTCGCCTTTTCGCTCTTGGAGCCGTCTTGGGCCATCTTGCACTCTCTTGGAGCCTCTTGGGGGTCTCTTGGCAGCCTCTTGGAGGCTTCTTGGGGGCCTCTTGGGGTCTCTTGGGGCCCTCTTGGGGCGCTCTTGGGGCGCTCTTGGGAGCCTTCGGGGCGCTCTTTGGGCTATGTTGGATGAGATCTATCAAAGAAGGGGGTAGCCCCAATTAGCCTCGCCCTTCCAGAGTGCCTCGAGCCGCCTCTTGGGCCCCCCCAAGAGGCCAAAATCCTTCCAAAACCTAGGTAAAATCAATGTTTTGTGTTTTCTCGCCTTTTCGCTATTGGAGCTGTCTTGGGCCATCTTGGACGTCCCAACGCGTCGCGGAACGCCCCGTCCAGGTCAGTGGGGAGGGGTAAGGGGAGGGGTAAACCCCTCCCCGAAGGGGAAGAAGGGGGTTGGCAGAGGAAACTCTCTAGACCACCTACGCCCTAAAGGGCTGGTGGGATTCAGGACGGGTTTTTGTCCGCCCTTCTCGGCCGCCTCTGGAGGCCCTGGCCGGGCCCTGGGGCCGCACGACTCGGGAAGAGAGGCCGGCCCCAGGGAAAGGGTCGGGACTGCCGGGGACGCGGTTTGGACAAAATCAGGGCGTCGCGTGCCTGGGTGGGGGTCCGACGCCGCGGCCCGGCCGCTGCCACAGTCCCCGCTGCCGGTGCTGGCCGCGCCAGCGCGCTCGGGATAGAAGGCTAGGCCCGCCTCCGCGGCCGCTCCGTCTGTCTCAGTCCCTCCTCTTGCATGCTGGGCAATTCGCTCTTCAGCCGCCTTGAATTGCTTGACTGCCGGTGCAGGAAACCTCGGCCTCGCCGCCGACGAAAAAGTGTCTGGGTGGGGGGCCGGACGAGAGCTTGGGGGCGGCCGAGGTCGGGGGCGACGAGGGACGGGGCCGATGTCGGGCGGCCGAGGATCGGGCACTCCAAATCTTGCAATAAATGCTGGGTAGTCGAAGGCCAGACTGTCAGACTGGATTGGGCCCCAAGGGCCAATCTGGCCTGGCCATATTGGAGGATTTGGGTTATTCGCCAGACTGGATTCGCGTTGGCTCCCTCGCCAGATTGCCCCCGTTTGCCAGATTGGGCCTGCCAGATTGGCGCCAGATTGGCTTCGACTACCCAGAAATGGGAGGGGACCAGAAGCCTCCCAGACGAGCAGTTTTAGACCCTCCCCCAGACCAGCCATGAAAGGGCGGCTTTTGCCCGCACCCATCCTGGACCCTCCAAGACAGCTCAAGTGTGACCCCCTCCGAAATCAGGCCACCCCCCTTCTACTGTGAAATCCGGGGTGCAGCCAGGACCCTGGGCAAGGGGAGCTGGCCAGCGATGGGGCCCCGAAGCCCAACAGCTGGCCAGGATCACTAGGCCAGGTCTGCCGTAGTTGGTGTTTATTCGGGTGACGGCAGTTCCGGTTCGTGGAATGGGGCGCGGGGGCGTGTCCCGGTAATTACACATCACTAAACCATGTCCCACTAAACCCAGCCCCGCCAACGGCCGAAAGGAGGAACGATGTCGTCGAAACCGATGGCAAGGATGAACGATGTTCCAAAGTTGCCCTTGCATCCTTACCCTTCGGCCCATCCTTGGCCATTTTCGCTGGCCGCGCCCCGCTCGAAAAGTGCCGGCGTGGCCTTCCAAGACCCTTGCATCCAAACCGCGTGTTCTTTATTACTCGGGGGCGGCTTACTAGGAGGAACGATTGGGGGGGGGATAGGCGGCCACGCGCAGAGAGGGGCAGGGGGAGGGGGGAAGGCTTCTTAGAAACACCCCTGCGTCTCAGATGGCGCGGGCCTCGATGCAGGGCCTGCGCCTTCTAAGAAGCAGACTCCCACTACGAAGCCTCCCCTCGGACATCGGAGCAGATTCATTACCAGTGGCGGTCTGTTTTTCAATCCCCGGATTTTTTGAGGGTCGGGGTCGACGTCGGGGCGGTGTGGTGTATACTTGTTCCCCCGTCGTCCCGGGGAACCAGCGAAACATGTGTACACCAGGACCCCCTATACACCAGGATCCGCTTTTCTGCGCAAGTGCCAGTGCAGGGCCGGAAAGAAGCGTCGGTGTATACAGAGTTTGTTTCCTTCTTCCCCCTCCCCCCTGCCCCCCTTGGTGCACGGGGGCACGGGGTGGACGACACCCTCGATGCTCGAGGTGCGTGGTGCTCGGGCGTCCTCGTCGGAGCCCGGCGGCCTCCTGACCTCGGGGTGCCTTCCCGCAGCTGCGCCTCGCCGAGGGCGGTCCAGGGGTGCCCTCCAGTAAGAATAGTAGTTATGATACTGCTTCGAGTAAGAAGAATAATAAGACGAGTAGTGATAGTACGACTGGTAATAAGGAAAGGGGTACATATGACAATACTGGCAATCGTGATGATAATAACAAGAAGAATGCTACGACGAATCACAAATGGCAACGACGGGGGAGGGGGATAAGGGAGCAGCGGCAGCGGGGAGACCACGGGCTCGAGGCCTGTGGTCTTTGGGCATTTTCGTCGGTCCTCCTCGGCCTCCCAGCCTCGGGATGCTCTCCAGCAGCTGCGCCTCGCCAAGAGGCGTCCCACGGGTGCCCGGATCGTCCCGAACGGGCGCCAGAGGCCCGAACCTATGGCCCGAAAACAGCAGGGAACGGGATTGGCGCAGGGGGTGACGCATTGACCCCCGATCGCCCATTCATCGCCGATCGCCCCCATCGACCTGCGATCGCCCAATCGACCCCATCGGCCCCAAATCGCCCAGAAACGCCTCCTCGGCCGCTTCCTCCTCCTCCTCCTCCTCCTCCTCCTCCTCCTCCTCCACCCTCTTCCTCGTCCTCCACCTTCACCTTCCGACGCTCTCCTGCTCCTCCTCCTCCTCTTCCTCCTTCTCCTCCTCCTCCTGCAGGAGGGAGGTGATGATTACAATCAGTTCGTTGAAATACGGACCCCCTTGGACTCAGAAGGGGCTGGGGTTTCGGGCCTCTCCTTTAGCTTCCTGGCGTGGAGCCTGTTTGTTGCCTAGGCCCTCCGCAGCCAGAAAAGCCAACTCGTTCCTGATTATGCGTTTGTTATCGCAGCACGATGTCTGTAGGGGGGGTGGACATCATAGCGGGGGCCTTGAGATATCCCTGCTCACATGGCCCCTCTTCTTCCCTCCATGCGTCCCCTGCCCTGACTCGCCACCTTCCACACATTCCGACCAGCAGGCCACTGTTTTAGTAATCCTCTCGAGGGGCAAAACTATACCCTGCATCAACTTGCACTTTTCTCTCCGCGCGGCTGTCTTGGATCGGCGCTGCACGTCGCCCATGGCCCCCTCTTCTTCCTTCAATGCGTCCCCTGGTCCCCACCTCGTCCACGCACATGCTTCGGGCCATGATTTGTAACTCCCCCTCTTGGACGCCCCCCTCTTTGGCCGCACCCGACTCCAGATCCGCCCTGCTTTGGGCAACCTCGCAAGCAGGGCGGAAATCTCTCAGACCTCCGATGTCTCGATGTTTCCCGACCCTCCGTGTTTTTTTGTTCGTTTTGAGTAGAGCCCTGTGGCTCCGTCCCTCCTCCTCCTCCTCCTCCTCCTCCTCATCCTCTCCTCCTCTTCCTCCTACTCCTCCTCCTTCCCGCCTCCCTCCTCTCTCTCTCTCTCTTTCTGTTTCTCTCTGGCTCTCTCTCCTTTTGTCTCGTACCTTTCTCGCACTTGCTTGCGACCTCGCCGTCTCGGGGGGGCTGCGACCTGCGAAGCTGTCGCCACTTTCGAGAGCTACTGGGGGGGGGCCGGCACACACGGGGGCAATGCCCAGACTCAGATTAGACTTCGCCATCCCCAGGGATTGCGATGTGCGAAATTGTCGCCACTTTCGAGCGCTGCGACGGGGCCAGCACAGTGTCGCCAAGGCCAGACTCATATTACACCTCGCCATCCCATGGGGGCTGCGATCTGCAAAATTGTGGCCACTTTCGAGGGCTGCAGGCTGGCCCAGCGTAATGCGGTGCTACGCAGATCAGAGCGAGACCTCGCCATCCCTGGGGGGCTGCGAACTGCGAAACTTTCGCCACTTTCGAGGGCTGCTGGCGGGCCAGCACAGCGTCGCCATGCCCAGCCTCAGACTATGCCTCGCCATTCCTGGTGGGCTGCGATCCGCGAAGTTGTCGCTACTTTCGAGGGCTGCTGGGGCGGGGCAGCACAGTGTCGCCACACCCAGGCCCAGATTGGACCTCGCAATCCCTGGGGGGCTGCCATCCGCGAAATTGTCGCCACTTTCGAGAGCTGCTGAGAGGGCCAGCTCAGTGCGATACTACGCAGAACGGAGCGGGACCTCGTCATCTCTGGGGGGCTGCGATCTGCAAAATTGTGGCCACTTTCGAGGGCTGCTGGGAGGCCAGCATAGTGTCGCCAGACTCAGATTGGACCTCGCCATCTCTGGAGGCCTGCGATCCGCGAAATTGTCACCACTTTCGAGCGCTGCGGGGGGGCCAGCACAGTGTCGCCAAGCCCAGACTCATATTAGACCTCGCCACCCCTCGGGGGCTGCGCTCTGTGAAACTGTCGCCACTTTCGAGGGCTTCTGACGGGGGCAGCACAATGCCGCCAAGTCCAGACTCGTATTAGACCTCGCCACCCCTCGGGGGCTGCGATGTGCGGTCCCCCTAGAAGGATTCCTATTGAACGCCCCCATAAGAAGGATTCACAGTGAAATCCTCGGCAGAAGGGTTCCCATCGAAACCCTCCATTGAATGATTCCTATTGAAATCCTCCACATGTGGATTCCTACTGAAACCCTCCACTGGGCCACGGCCACGGCCACGGCCACGGCGGCCACAGCCACGGCCAATGCCACGGCCACGGCCACGGCCACGGCCAAGGCCACGGCCACGGCCACGGCCACGGCCACGGCCACGGCCAAGGCCACGGCCACGGCCACGGCGAGGGCTGCTGGGACGGGACAGCA